CACGGAATTAGCTCGATTTGCTTCTCATATGGTGGATACGGACTAGAAAAAGGCTCGAAAATTTGAGGGGGAATTAGATTTGGATATGTTTGATCGAGTAGGCATCCTGGAGTTACATACATATGTGGAAGTACTTGATAGAGCATTGATGGCAGGCGCCACTCTAGTAGCAAAAAAACAAGTTAAAGTTCCAATAACTGAATAGAGAAGGAAGAGACCCATCTTCAATTTCAGAAAGGGTCGGTCGTTTTCAAAGAAGCAAAACACGGGTTCCTCCAGTAGCTCGGGTCAGAGTAGTGGGACTATTCTAAGTTGCCCTAATTGTAGAAAGAAGCACAGAGGAGTGTGTTACTGTGCATCTGGAGCCTATTATCGGTGTGGCAAGGTTGGCCATATGATGAAAGATTGTCCACTTGGGGCCGAGAATGCTAATCGCCCCGCAGCAAGTCCAGCCAGATCTGCTTCTGTAACAAGGTCAAATGCCAAAACTAATGCCAGAAGTAACACTGGGAATGAGACATTAAGGCAAGGGAGAGTGTTCGCACTAGTGCTTGGAGATGTACAAAACACCGAGTCTGTGGTGTCAGGTATAATTTCCATCTGTACTCAAAATGCGTATATCTTGATAGATTCTGGTTCTATACATACGTTTGTGTCGCATGCCTTTTCTCAGAAATTAACTAGACCTTTAGAATCCATGAACTATTTATTGTCTGCATCTACGCCATCTGGGGGTTCTATTTGTATGTGCATATGTTTATCCAACATGTGATATTATGATCGGTAATGTGACGTTGTATATTAATTTATTGTCGTTGGGAATTGATCATTTTGACTACATATTGGGTATGGACTGGTTAACGAAATACTGTGCAACTATTAACTGTGTGAATAAATCTGTTATGTTTCGTCCACCTGGTTTACCTGAATTTGTGTTTGTTAGGAATGGGATAGTTCCTCCCCCATATTTGATTTCTGTCATGAAAGCTGTTAAACTGCTTAGGAGGGGGTGTAAAGGTTATATGTCTTGTGTTTTGATTGAGACTTTTGATAGTTCTAGTGTGGAAACTATTCTTATTGTTTGTGAATTTCCCGATATGTTTTCGAATGAGTTACCTGGGGACTTAATTAATAGAGAGATTGAATTCACCATTAATGTATTACCTGGAACACAACCAATTTTCAAAACCTTATACAAAATGTCAACTTCTAAATTGAAAGAATTGAAAACTCAACTTCAGAAATTGTTAGACAAGAAGTTTATCCGCTCTAGCACTTCACCTTGGAGTGCTCCAGTCCTATTTGTTAAGAAGAAAGACGGATCTTTAAGGCTGTGTATAGACTATCGGGAGTTGAACAAAGTGGCTGTCAAGAACAAGTATCCACTACCCCAAATAGATGATCTATTTGACCAACTTCAGGGGGCACAAGTGTTCTTCAAGATAGACCTTAGATCCGGGTATCACCATCTAAAAGTTAAAGCATAAGACATAGAGAAAACTACATTCAGAACTAGATATGGGCACTACGAGTTCTTAGTAATGTCATTTGGGGTAACTAATGCACCTGCGGCGTTTATGGACCTAATGAATAGGGTTTTCAAACAATTTCTTGATGAATTTATCGTTGTATTTATTGATGATATACTGATTTACTCCAAAAGAAGGGAAAAACATGAAAATCATCTGAGAACTGCCTTACAGATCCTGAGAGAGAAAAAGTTGTATGCAAAATTTTCCAAATATGAATTTTGGCTTGACAGTGTAGCATTTCTAAGACATGTAATCAACAAAGACGACATATCAGTAATGTAACAACCCCGACCCATGATTAGCACTAACCCATGATTAATTATGCTTAATAAGTAATTAAGACAAAATTCTGAATTAAATTGCTTGTGTGTTGCATTATTTGTGTCTATATCTGTTGTCGTAGGAAGATCTGTTCATGTTTATGCTTTGTTCTGTGAATTAAAGGCATTATCGGCATCTGATTCATAAATTGACTTGACTTATGTGTTAATGGGGATTTTTTAGAATTTTATGGTAGGTTTAATTGAAATTCAATTCGGGACAATTAAATTAGAATAATTAATACTCAATTAAACCTAACTAATGAAATCTTGATCTAACCCTATATAAGGCACTTTTTTGTTCCCAACTCACTCTTTTTTCTTCATCTTACATGCATCCTTGAGCTCTCAAAGACACAAAAATGTGAGAGGGAGAGAGAGTAGGAGGGAAGTTGAACTCAACAAGAGAATTGCTTGAGATTTAGAGGAAATTGAAGAGGACTTGGAGGATTAAGCTACCACACTTGAGAATTCAAGACTTAAGGTAGGAATCCACCCTTTTAATTGTGAAATAGAGTTGTACAAGGCATGGGTTCATGGAAATTAGAAATTAAAGTCAAGAAATAACTTAAAGAGTAGATTTGAGAATTAATTCATGCATGCATGTCCATTTCTTCCCAAATTGAGCATGATTCCAAAGGATTCTTTCATGCATGTGTTCATCTCACTTATATTTTGGGATTTCATCATGTTTTCTATCAATTTGCAAAATTTGATCATGTTTTGAAGCGAGTGAGTACAAGAGAATTCATGCATGTTATGTTCTTGAACATTCATAAAGTTTAAGTTGAAATTTTGTTCAATTGGCATGCCCTTAGGCCATGATTTCATGAAATGATCATCAAGTCATAATGTTTTGTGAGTTTCTAAATGTTTTCCAGAATTTTGGCCCAAAATATTGAGTTTTGAAGTGTTTGATTTGAGTTTTGAGCTTAAAGATCAAATCTGAAAATTCCAGAATTTGCATCCACGCTCGAGCGTAGGAGTTCACGCTCGAGCGAGCACTCTGAGTGCGTGCACTTCCGCTCGAGCGACTGGAAGCTCGCTCGAGCGTGAAATGCATGTATCTAGAAGTTCATATGTTTTGCAGCACGCTCGAGCGACAGAAGTCACGCTCGAGCGAGGGTTTGAGTCTCACGCTCGAGTGAGGATCGAGCGTCCGTCGAGCGTGAAAAACAAGTAACCAATACTTTTTCCAAAGTTTACAGTCTGCTCGAGCGAAGGAAGTCACGCTCGAGCAAACCTTCACTTCTTACATGTCCGCTCGAGCGAGGAAAGCCACGCTTAAGCGTGGACACTATTTTCAACAAGTTTTAGAAAATGTATTTAAATGCATTTTTGTATCCTCATTCCATCCTAGGCATTCCTAGGCCATGATTAAGACTCCATAATGAGGTTAAAGGCTAGAAACACGCTCAGAACAATTAAGGCAAGTTATGTACAATTCGAACGTGTGTTTCAGGTGTGTGTTTGTTATGTGTTCATGTAAGTCACGTACCGTAGATCGCCTGATTAGTCTGCTCTCTCTGTCTGCACTCGAAGCCAATTGTAAGTAATAACTTAATAAAGCTATGTTCAACTTTATCTACTTTCTGTATGATAAAATAAGATCTGTTTTCTGAAATGCTATGTTCTGTACAATGAATGATTGTCCAATTTTTGACAATGTATTCGTGGCATCCTTAGCATCATGTGATATCTGTTAGCTGTTACCTGGTATCGGAGGTTCCATTATGGAACTTAATATGTCTGCACTTTGTTACCCGTACCGGAGGCTCCATCACGGGGCTCAGCATGTTTATTCTCTGTTACTCGAATCCGGAGGTTCCTTTATGGAACTGGTTATTCATAACCACCATATGTTCTGCATCTGTTCTGTATCAATTCTGTTAGCGCTAATGGATGTACCAAGCACGATTATGTATGAATTATGATTTCTGTATATCATCTGAACAAGAATATGAATATGAATATGAATCTGAAGTATGATTTCTGAATCTGTATGGACTTCATTCATCAAAACCCTTTACTTCGTTATTATTCACTAGGCTTCCACTCACTATTTATGTTATGTACGTAGGTGAGCAAGCACGTGACCAGGCCCAGAGTTGACGGCCTTTGCACCTCCCGAGGACGTTCCGAATGAAGTCAAGTTTTGTGGCTGTTTTTGTAATCATATTAGACTATGTTTGTCTGTTAAGTTGTGGGTGAGATTGTTAACATATACGCCTAAGTGTGGTATGTAAATATTATATCTTTTGGCTATCACTCGTATGTTTATAAAGATTTTTGATTATTCTGTCCCATGTATATCATCACAGCTCATTGGACCTCGTATATTTTGTATATTTGCTTCCGCAGCCCCTAATTAGATGTTAATCTGTCAAGAGGCCTTTGGTAATCCAATGATTACTGGCCGGTTACGATGCTAAACCCATAGGGGTGGGTTTGGGTCGTGACAGAGTGGTATTAGAGCACGTGTTTTACAGCACACACAGGTCCATATGAGCTTATGATGTTCTAGTAAGAAATAGGGGCATTCCATATGCATGTGTGAGTATGTGGTAACCCAAATGGATACGAAAACTGAATGTAAATCTAGGCAAATGAATTGAAAGAAATGAATGAGATTATTCCTATATTTTTTATTGTCTGGTGTCTCTATAGCAACATAGAGAATGCAAGGGGAAATGATGTAAGTGAATCTTCAGAGGCTCGCATGAGTCGAATGGAACAAATGCTTGCGGCATTGACTGAAGCTATAGCACAACAACAAAGACAACAACCTTTGCCCCCTCCACATCTGTCGGCTCAAGCCGAAACAGATAATAACGACATCATCTTGACTCAGAAATTCATGAAGATGAAACCGCCAACATTCTTTGGTGGAATTGAACCGTTGAAAGCAAAGACATGGTTGCTTGAGATGGAAAAACTGTTTGAGGTATTTCCCTGTACCGAGATTCAGAAGGTTTTATTGGCCACCTATACTCTGAAAGACGAAGCTCGAAGGTGGTGGTTACTAATTCGGAGTACCAATGGGAATATGACGTGGGCTCGATTTAATGAAATCTTTTATGAAAAATATTTTCCCCAATGTTTTCGGGACCGAAAAGTGTCTGAATTCCAAGAACTTAAGCAAGGCCGAATGTCTGTAGTCGAGTACGAGGCAAAGTTCACTGAATTAGCAAGATTTGCTCTTCATATAGTGGACACAGACTACAAGAAAGCCCGCAAATTTGAGGGAGGATTGAACTTAGACATATTTGATCGAGTTGGTATACTAAAGTTGCCAACATATGTGCAAGTTCTTGATAGATCTTTAATGGCGGAAGCCACCCTAGCCGCTATGAAGCAAAGTAAGGCCCCAGCAGCAACAACAATTGATTGGAGAGGAAAAAGGTCTAGGTATGGTATCAAAAAAGGCCGTTCTCATGTAAGTAAGAAGCAGAATACAAGGTCTACAAGCAGCTCGAGTCAGAGCAGTGGGTCTATTCCAGTTTGTCCTGATTGTGGAAGAAGGCATAGAGGTGTATGTTACCGAGCATCCGGTGCTTGTTTCCGATGTGGCAAGACAGGTCATGTAGTGAAAGATTGCCCACTTGGGTCTGAGAATGCCATCCGTCCTATGATGAGTTCAGCTGGGTCCGCTTCTATAGTTAAAACAAATGCAAAGACTAATACTGGGAAAGAACCTCTGAGACAAGGTCGAGTGTTTGCCTTAGTGCCTGGTGACGTACAGAACACTGAAACCGTGGTGTCAAGTATACTCCCTATATGTTCTCAAAATACATGTGTACTGATAGATTATGGTTCTACACATTCCTTTGTATCGCATACTTTCTCTCAGAAATTAACTAGATCACTAGAACTTATGACATGTGTGTTATCTGTATCTACACCGTCTAGGGGTTCTATGATATATGCTTATGTTTATCCGGCATGTGATATTATGATTGGTGATATGACATTGTATGTTGACTTGTTGCCCTTAAACATTGATCATTTTGATTGTATTCTGGGTATGGACTGGTTGACCAAGTACTGTGCTACTATTGACTATGCAAGTAAATCTGTTGTGTTTAGACCACCGGGCACGCCTGAATTTACTTTTACTAGAAATGGGGTAGTTCCTCCCCCATACCTGATTTCAGCCATGAAAGTTGTGAAATTGCTTAGGAAGGGATGTAGGGGTTACTTGTGTTGTATATTGACTGCATCATCTAATAGTGTCAATGTGGAAACTATTCTTGACGGGGACTTAGTTGATAGAGAGATTGAGTTCACTATTGAAGTAATCCTAGGAACACAACCTATTTCCAAGGCCCCCTATAGAATGTCTACCTTAGAATTAAAAGAATTAAAAACTCAACTTCAGGAACTGCTCAACAAGAGATTCATCGGTCCGAGTACTTCACCTTGGGGTGCTCCAGTCCTATTTGTCAAAAAGAAATATGGAACTTTGAGGTTATGTATAGATTATCGGGAATTGAACAAAATAACCATCAAGAATAAATACCCTTTATCCCGAATAGATGACTTGTTTGATCAACTTCAGAGAGCCCAAGTGTTTTCCAAGATTGACCTCAGATTTGGGTATCACCAGTTAAAAGTTATGGCAGAAGACATAGAGAAAACTACATTCAGAATTAGATATGGACATTATGAATTTTTAGTAATGCCGTTTAGGGTGACTAATGCACCTGCTGCCTTTATGGATCTTATGAATAGAGTGTTTAAATCATTTTTGGATGAATTTGTTGTTGTGTTTATTGATGATATTTTGATTTACTCCAAAAGTAGGGAAGATCATGAGAATCACTTGAGAACTGCTCTACAGACTTTGAGAGAAAAGAAATTATACGCTAAATTGTCCAAATGTGAGTTCTGGCTTAACAGTGTGGCATTCCTAGGGCGTGTAATCAACAAGGATGGTACTTCTGTTGACCCTCAGAAAATTGAAGCTATTGTGGACTGGCCTAAACCGACAAATGTGACAGAAGTTAGAAGTTTTCTGGGACTTGTAGGTTACTACAGAAGATTTGTGAAAGACTTTTCAAAACTTGCCATGCCATTGACCCAGTTAACTAAAAAAAAATGTACCCTTTGATTGAGAGGAACAAATAGAGTCAGCCTTCCAAGAGTTGCAAACCAGATTAGTAACTGCACCGATCTTAACTCTACCTAATGGTACTGATGGGTTCCAGATTTACAGTGACGCTTCATATAAAGGGTTGGGTTGTGTACTAATGCAGAATGAGAAGGTAATTGCTTATGCCTCTCAGCAACTTCGCCTACATGAAAAGAATTACCCAACACATGATCTTGAACTGGCAACTGTAGTGTTTGCCTTAAAGATTTGGCGACATTATCTGTATGGAGCGACTTGTGAGGTGTACACAGATCACAAAAGTCTCAAGTATTTCTTTACTCAGAAAGAACTGAATATGAGACAAAGGAGATGGTTGGAACTGATCAAGGACTATGATTTGCAAATTCTGTATCATCCAGGTAAAGCTAATACTGTAGCTAACGCTTTGAGCCGGAAGTCAATTGGGAATTTGTCATGTTTGTTGTCTAGTCAAAAAAAATTGCTAGATGACCTGGAAAAGAATGAAATAGAAATTGTGTTGCGAGAGCAAGGTGGGATTTTAGCTGCCATTTCCGCTCAGCCTGCAATTCTTGAAGAAATCAAACAGAAACAACTTGAAGATGAGTACTTGAAAAAGATTGTGAAAGAATTTGATTCAAAACCGAAACCAAGGTTTGTGTTTGAGAATAATGTGTTGAAATTTCAGAATAGACTCTGTGTACCAGATTCCTCTGATATGAGGAAGCGTGTTATGTCCGAAGCTCACAGCGCTAAATTTTCCATGCATCCGGGGAACACAAAGATGTATCATGATTTGAAACAGAACTTTTGGTGGCCCGGAATGAAAAAGTGCATTGCAGATTTTGTGGCTAGACGTTTATATTGCCAACAAGTTAAAGCCGAACATCAGCGACCCGCTGGTTTGTTACAACCGCTACCAATACCGGAATGGAAATGGGAACACATTACCATGGACTTCATTGTGGGACTGCCTCGCTCTACTCGAGGTATGGATTCTATCTGCGTTATAGTTGATCATTTAACTAAGTCTGCCCATTTTCTACCTGTCAAATCTATTTACAATGCGGACAAATTGGCCAATATTTATATGAATAAGATTATGAGGTTGCATGGAGTGTCAGTATCTATTGTATCTGACAGGGACTCAAAGTTTGTGTCAAGATTTTGGCAGAGTTTGCAACAGGCTTTGGGGACTGAACTAAGATTGAGTAGTGCTTATCACCCACAGACAAATGGTCAAACTGAACAGACTAACCAAACTTTGGAAGATATGCTCAGAATGTGTGTATTAGACTTCCAAGGGAATTGGAAGACCTATTTGCCATTGGCTGAATTTGTGTACAACAACAGCTATCATTCAAGCATTGGAATGGCTCCTTATGAAGCTTTGTATGGAAAGAAGTGTCGATCTCCGATATGTTGAGCTAAGGTAGGTGATAGACCTTTGTTGGGACCAGAACTTGTACAGGAAACAACAGAGAAAGTGAAACTGATCCAACAGCGTCTGAAAACTGCACAGAGCCGGTAAAAGAGTTATGCTGATGTTTGAAGAAGAGATAGAGAATACGAAATTGGGAGTCACGTGTTCATAAAAGTGACCCCTATGAAGGGTCAAACTCGGTTTGGTGTAAAAGGCAAGTTGCCGCCAAGGTGTGATGGGCCATATGAAATCCTTGAAAAGATCAATTCAGTAACCTATCGAGTGGCCTTACCTCCTGTAATGGAGTATATGCACAATGTATTTCATGTATCAATGCTTCGAGAATATTTAAAAGATCCACTCCATGTCATTGAACCAACACATGTGCTCTTGAAAGATGATTATACTTATGAAGAAAGACCTATTCAGATTGCGAACCGCTGGATCAAAAGATTAAGGAATAAATAAATACCACAGGTAAAAGTTGATTGGCAGAATCATGGAGGAACTTATGCTACATGGGAAACAGAAGAAGACATGATGAGGAGATATTCGGACTTGTTTCCGTTGGACCCAATGTTCTTTCAAAATAAAGGTAATTCGAGTTTGGAGGACCAAACTCCTTAAGGGGGGAAGACTGTAACAACCCCGACCCATGATTAGCACTAACCCATGATTAATTATGCTTAATAAGTAATTAAGACGAAATTCTGAATTAAATTGCTTGTGTGTGTTGCATTATTTGTGTCTATATCTGTTGTCGTAGGAAGATCTGTTCATGTTTATGCTTTGTTCTGTGAATTAAAGGCATTATCGGCATCTGATTCATAAATTGACTTGACTTATGTGTTAATGGGGATTTTTTAGAATTTTATGGTAGATTTAATTGAAATTCGATCCGGGACAATTAAATTAGAATAATTAATGCTCAATTAAACCTAACTAATGAAATCTTGATCTAACCCTATATAAGACACCTTTTTGTTCCCCACTCACTCTTTTTTCTTCATCTTACATGCATCCTTGAGCTCTCAAAGACACAAAAACGTGAGAGGGAGAGAGAGTAGGAGGGAAGTTGAACTCAACAAGAGAATTGCTTGAGATTTAGAGGAAATTGAAGAGGACTTGGAGGATTAAGCTACCACACTTGAGAATTCAAGACTTAAGGTAGGAATCCACCCTTTTAATTGTGAAATAGAGTTGTACAAGGCATGGGTTCATGGAAATTAGAGATTAAAGTCAAGAAATAACTTAAAGAGTAGATTTGAGAATTAATTCATGCATGCATGTCCATTTCTTCCCAAATTGAACATGATTCCAAAGGATTCTTTCATTCATGTGTTCATCTCACTTATATTTTGCGAATTCATCATGTTTTCTATCAATTTGCAAAATTTGATCATGTTTTGAAGCGAGTGAGTACAAGAGAATTCATGCATGTTATGTTCTTGAACATTCATAAAGTTTAAATTGAAATTTTGTTCAATTGGCATGCCCTTGGGCCGTGATTTCATAAAATGATCTTCAAGTCATAATGTTTTGTGAGTTTCTAAATGTTTTCCAGAATTTTGGCCCAAAATATTGAGTTTTGAAGTGTTTGATTTGAGTTTTGAGCTTAAAGATCAAATATGGAAATTCCAGATTTTGCATCCATGCTCGAGCGTAGGAGTTCACGCTCGAGCGAGCACTCTGAGTGCTTGCACTTCTGCTCGAGCGATTGGAAGTTCGCTCGAGCGTAAAATGCATGTATCCAGAAGTTCATATGTTTTGTAGCACGCTCTAGCGACAGAAGTCACGCTCGAGTGAGGGTCTGAGTCTCACGCTCGAGCGAGGATCGAGCGTTCATCAAGCGTGAAAAACAAGCAACCAATACTTTTTCCAAAGTTTACAGTCCGCTCAAGCGAGGGAAGTCTCGCTCGAGCAAACCTTCACTTCTTGCATGTCCGTTCGAGCGAGGAAAGCCACGCTCGAGCGTGGACCCTGTTTTCAGTAAGTTTTGGAAAATGTATTTAAATGCATTTTTATATCCTCATTCCATCCTAAGCATTCCTAGGCCATGATTAAGACTCCATAATGAGGTTAAAGGCTAGAAACACGCTCAGAACAATTAAGGCAAGTTATGTACAATTCGAACGTGTGTTTCAGGTGTGTGTTTGTTATGTGATCATGTAGGTCACGTGCCGTAGACCGCCTGATTAGTCTGCTCTCTCTGTCTGCACTCGAAGCCAACTGTAAGTAATAACTTAATAAAGCTATGTTTAACTTTATCTACTTTCTGTATGATAAAATAAGATCTGTTTTCTGAAATGCTATGTTCTGTACAATGAATGATTGTCCAATTTTTGACAATGTATTCGTGGCATCCTTAGCATCATGTGATATCTGTTAGCTGTTACCTGGTATCGGAGGTTCCATTAGGGAACTTAATATGTCTGCACTTTGTTACCCGTACCAGAGGCTCCATCATGGGGCTCAGCATGTTTATTCTCTGTTACCCGGATCCGGAGGTTCCTTTATAGAACTGGTTATTCATAACCACCATATATTCTGCATCTGTTCTATATCAGTTCTGTTAGCGCTAATGGATATACCACGTATGATTAAGCATGAATTATGATTTTTGTATATCATCTGAACAAGAATACGAATATGAATCTGAATTATGATTTCTGAATCTGTAT